TATGCTGCTTCTGATGTGCACCATAAATACACAAACCATAGATATATGGATTGAGTTTAAGCTCACATCTTAAGGTGTAAGCCCTAATAGAACAAGAATTAGTTCTTATAATGTGGCCCTGAGCAATAATTACCCTCCTGGGATGATCCCTGAAGATACAGGTGTTATAGCAAAGCACAGTGAAGAAACCTGATGCTATCAGAAAGAACCGTGTCTAGGGTCTTACAGCCTTGTCTTAGAACAAGCAACCATCTAAGAAAACTGTCAATTAGCTCAGACATAGATGGAAGGATTTTTAGTAAGATCCATCGTCAGAGGATGGGATGTAGTAGAGTTTAAATTCTGAACACTAGGTTTTCAGAAGATCATGGTTTACAATGAAAGCCCCAAATCCTTTTTGAGATTCTACATAGATTCAGCCTCAACTGAATTCTTTCTAATAACCAGCAATGTGAATAGTCTTGCCCTCAATCGGAGGTATAAGAAAACAGGTTACTGCCAGTACCCTAGCCAGTTCAGAGAGAGGCAGTGGATCCTTCAGGGACTTGCCAGGGGATGCCCTTGCCGGAATTTAAAGCACTGGGATCCACATGATCATGCATCATGCCCTGAGTACCTTGGTCAGAGAGCCCTGAACCAATCTTGCAAACTTTCCTCTCAAGAACAGTGCACATAGCCTGCACATGATCTCTTTCCTGCTTCTTTTGTCCTACATGCAACTGTGATGTATTGATCTGTCACCAACCAGGATGTTGCCACAGTTTCCCTTGTACTCCATGTCCCATTGAAGCGGTCATGTTTTTGTGAATCTAGTACAGCCTTGTGCTATAATACTCTCCCTCTTCTGGATGATGCGTCTTGTCTTTGTTTCGGCTTTGCCCTGTTTAATATTTCATAAACGGGTCTCTATCATTATATTTAGACTTGGAGGTCTCCCTTCTCCCCTGGAACAGTATTCTTTCAGTGGTGCACAATAAAAGAACGGTCTGCTGATCTAATTCCATAAGAATGTTACAGCCAAGGAAACCCTATGGGGTGCAGCTGTACTCTGGAGCACATGGGTTAGCCATGGGTTGGAATCCATTTAGCAGCAATGGTCTTTTTTCCAGGGTTTGCTTGTTCTTCAGCTCGGGAGAATTAATAAAGATAGAGTTGGGGAATTAGAGCCTCTCAAATGTAATAGACATTCCAATCCCCTGAAACTCTTGTTACAATATAGATTCTGATCTACTGGATCCGATGAGACAGTTCTAGGATGAGACTCTGATTCTAGGTTTTTAACATGCTCCTCCGTGATGCTCAGGTTTCCAGGCTAGAAACCCCACTTGGAGTAGCAAAGGCTAAGAAGATCAAGTTTAGGGCTATCCATCTGTGCTCCAAGAGAGATTAAGAACAGGTGTACTTAAATCAAGACGATTTTCAGGGTCTCAGGGAAGAAAAAGGTGTCTGAGGTCCAAAAGGGAGACACTTGTAAGCATCCTGGAGATTGGAAGGTGCAACTTCTGAAAGTCAAGGACACAAGGAGTGGCTTCTTTTCCACTGGGCACTAGGCTTGGGGCTATTTCCATATCAGTGAAGAGTGTTAGGCCTGGAGGAAATCTTACAGATCTGATATCTGAATCCCAACCCCACACCATATAGATAAGAAAAGTGCCAAAATCACACAGCCAGTGACCGGCTAGATAGTGAAGGACCTTGTATGCAAGGTCGGTGGTTTACAGTGCTCAGTGATGATGTGGAGACATAAAAAGATCTACATAGAGTTATGACATGAAGGGACCGCATTTTAAGAGAGCTCTCTGGTGGAGGGGGAGAGGAATTTAAGAAGACTAATGGAAGCTTTTCTGTCCTAGGAAATATGTAACAGAGGAAAATGAAATATGGGCCTGACCTGTGACAATAAAAAGAGAGGAGGTGGGGAAAGATTTGAGAGATATAGCCAATAGACTGTTCTGACTAAGTGCTTTCCGAGGCTGAGGGAAAAGGAGGGTCCCCAAGGTGCCTGGGTTAGTCACAAAGAGGAATACATGAGAACCAGCTGCTTTTCACTCAAGTCGAAAATGAAGTGAAAGAAGGGGCCCTGGGTGAGGAGGTGAATGAAGACCTCGGGGAGCACGCGGTGTCGAGAACATTCAAAAGATAGAAGCCAGAGAGAGGAGTCTCCTTACATGTCAGACGACTGACCCCAAGCTCCCACTCTCCGTGTCCAGGATCTGCTGTGCCGGTGGCTGCTTTACAGAGTGACCAAAGGCCCCGCTCCTCCCACAGGACCCTGATCACTCGGCTGGTTCACTCACCCCATCGTGGTCCTTCGTCATTGTTCCCTGTCATTTTCCTTCATCACAGCTACCATGCTTGGTAGCAATTTATATTTAACTGCTTGTTTCCTTGTTTGTCACCTGACTGTCCATGAGTCATGAAGCACAGTGTCGCACAGGGCACAGTCATGAAATCGCTGTTGCACGAATAAGTGTGTGAGATAGCTGAAGCACTTGAAGACATTTATTCTGAAGAAAGGACTCAAAGGACCTGAGTTCTAAAGTCCATCCTTTAAAACTGCAAAAGGACATCTCTAATTCCAATTTCTTTAATGTTGGAAGACTTGTACGATGTGGACATTGGCGTATAATTAAGCAACCCCAAGAGATAGGTCTCATTTCCTTATTCAAGCAGGGCTGTTGGCCCTTTGCTGGTCCTGATAGGCTTATGAGGTCAACAGGAAATGTGTCCTGGATGACCCATTTTAAAGTTGTTCCACTTTTCAATATATTCTGCTTTATTTTTGATTGAGGGTTTTGTCAATTTTATTTTGTTATTGTTAGTTTTTTTGGGGGGTGGGCGGAGGCTGTGGTGGGATACGTTTTTCTGTATCTGAAATCCAGGAGATGTAAATCTATACAGACAGAACTGGAATGATGGCTTCTTGGGGGTGCGGCGGGGGAAGTTGCGGACATGGGGAGCTAATAACAATGATTATCAGGAAAAAAAGAAAATGTTCTAGAATTGATGGTGGTAATGATTATGCAACTCTTCTTGATATAATTAAATCAACGAATTGTATAATAGGTGGATTATGTATCAATAAAACTGTTTAAAAAGAACAAAAAAGTGCCCAGGCAAAAACTGGCCCATGTTTGTGGAGACACATGATGGAAGATCACGGTTTAAACACTGGATTGAGGGATTCGATTATATGATTTTCGGAGTTCTTTTTCAGACGGAGAGCCCATGATTACATAACACCGTCATCAAACCAATTTGTCTGATTACTAGGCTTAGGCTTCGTGGTTCGCCTTCTTTTTTAAGAACATGCAGAGAAGAGCGTACTGGCTCTCATTTATTAAATAAGGAGCTTCCTTGACACAGGTTGGTAGGCTTTAACACTAAGAACGGATCCCTCTTTTTCAGCTCAAGTGGTACAGGAATCTCCTGTTCAACTGTCTAGCCTGTTGACTGAGCAATGGAAGGCCAGTAAACACTCTGCGGCCTGGACAGTTCTAGAAAGTGGTCCAGGGGTGAGTCACTAGGCTTAGGTACATGGGTTGGTGTTTCTCAGAGTGATAAGATGTCATCAGTGCCCAAGAGGGATTCAACTACCTGATTTCCTGCTGTCTTGATCAGTCGCAGAGAAAAATCAAATCCATCATTTAAGGATGTGATTTGGTGTTAGCTGTTATCTGTAGAAGAGGGGTCTTCCACAATGTCAGCAGGCCTGAGGGTTTCACTACGGGCTGTGCACATCCAGTGACATTAAGGAAATTATTATACTTAATGCCATGTCGGCGGGGGGTGGGGGAGAGATTTGAGACTATTCTCCCAGGGCATATACCCTAGAAAAGGCAGTGTGTTGGATATTTAACTTCAGTTACCACTGCCATAAGCCCTACTCATCTCAAATTTAACCTTCCCCACCACGAAATTTAGTTGTCGGTCTTAGTTTGATTAAGGTTGTAAAGAGAAACCCAGGCACGATCCTCTGCCATCAGTAACAAATTTTCCTTTCCTTTTTCACTGCCCATCGAGTACTGATACAGACTGTAATAGATTTACCTAAGAGATTTTCCTTTTCCCACTCTAAATATCCTTCCTCCTCATTCTCTGCCTCAGATTTGATTAGGTCGGGCTGTATATACTTCCAGGAACGTGGCGGCACAAGCAGTCTGAGCTTGACAACTAGCCTCAAGGTCGGCAGTTCTAATCCAACCAGTGGCACTGCAGAAGAAAGGTGTGGTAATCTGCTCTTATAAAAAAAATGCATCCCCCAGTATGTATGGATTGCAATAAGAGTTGTACGAGCCCCCAACAAAATGATTTTTTTAAATGCATCCCCCCAAACCTCTGTGGTGCAGTTCTATTCTTTAGCGCACGATGTTGCCACGAGTCAGAGGGCCCTGGCAGTGACATTTTTCTGTTGTGTTTTGCTGCTTGGTACTTGGTTCCTAGGACTGCGTGCTTCTGATCACCATGAATCGGCATTGCTTTGAACAGCATCTTGCTTCCCTTCGAAGGAGCTGTGGTTAAAGGGCTCAGCTGCTAATGGCCACGTGGACTGCTCGAGCTGACCAGCCTTTCTGGGAGAAAGAGGAGCACTCTGCTTCTGTAAAGATGTACAGCCTTGGGGACCGTATGGCGCAGTGGGGGCTGGTTAGAAAGGACTCATGACATGGTTTATCGTTCTTTCCTTCTAGGCTATACATTTTGTGTGTGTGCAGCTTATACATGAATCTTGGTTTGCACCTAAGATCTTAAAAATGTCCATCACATGGTGGTGTTTTACAAATGTTCCAAAGAGAGATGGACAGACAAATGAATGGATGACCGTGTGTGGATCCAGTACTACATCCCCACTAACATCAAAACCTAAGAGATAGAGTCAGTCTTAGAATTAGGATAGACACCTGTTATTTTCAAATGAGTAGCACATATTTCCCCTCCCATAAAATAAACAGAACATTTAAATGAATCGAACACTGGTTAAGGTAGCTGAGAAACACTCTTACCGGAAGCGTAGTCCCTCTGTGGAACGCTGGGCGGTGCTCTGACTTTCAATCTGTAGGTAGTAATCACGAGACAAACCATCAGGGGATAGGACAACTCTTGTCAAGGCCATGTCATTAGCTAACAGACATAATAGGAAGATAACTAATAGAATAATAGCTTCTCCTGGGTCCATCAGACTTAAAGGTTCATGTATTATCAACGTAGGGCAAACATTCATTCTGAGGTTTTCCGCTTCTCAATGGCCCAGAGCAAGCTGTGGCTGAGACGGTGTGATGGCAAAGTCAGGCAAGGATGAGGGCTCTGAGAGGTCCGAGTCCTAGTAAGTTCAGAGGTTTTCAAGGAAGAAATCTGAATGGAAGAACTCCAAAAATTTTTTGGAATGTAAACTGTATTTTAATTGTTTACAAAAGCGTTCTAACAAGAAAAATAGCTGCCTTAAGCACTTCAGTTGTAGGTTGGTCTGAAATTCTTTTTGCACCACTATACACCAAGCAGAATAAATGAGCAATGAATGTCTCCAGCTTGGCGATTTTAATGTCTAGCTTCCTTAGAAATCCAACTGTTTCAAAGCTTTATCTACAGACAAAATATATTGAATGTTCACAATTTATCCACTCTTTAAAAGAAAAAACAAAGATAAGCTAAAAGAGCAACTAATTCCGGAAGCTGGGTCACATGATGAAAGCCACAGCATGAGGACTGGAGGAAGGCTTCTTGACAACCTGAGACATGCAAATGGCACAACTTTGCTTTCTGAAAGTGAGGAGGGCTTGAAGCTGATGCATATAAGAGACTGCACACTTCCGTGTGGATTGCAACTCAGTGCAAAGAAAACAAAAATCCTTAGAACTGGGCCAATAAGCAACACTGTAATAAGTGGAGACAAGACTGAAGGTATCGTGCTCACGTTATTGAGCTCCACAGCCCACACCCTGGGAAGCAACAGTGAAGAACTCAAATGCCACATTGCATTGGGGAAATCTGCTCCAAAAGACTTCCCTAGAGGGTCTGGGAGGCCTGGTGGGGCTTGATCAAGGACAAGGTAGCCGAGAGGAATGACTGAAACCAAACACGAAGGCTGAACATGACAGTGGGACAAGAGGAAAGTCAAAAGAAACAGAGGAAAGAACTAGGAGGCAAAGGACATTTATAGAGGTCTAAAGACAGGCATGTACATATGTAAATATATTTATATATAATGATAGGGAAATAGGTCCATATATTTATATGTTAATTATTAAGGTAGCAGACAGGCTTGGGCTTCTATTCAAGTACTCCCTCAATGCAAGAACACTTTGTTCTAATAACCTGGCATTCTGTGATGCTCATCTTCCCAACACAATTGCTGAAGACAAAATGGGCACATAAGCAAATGTGGTGAAGAAAGCTGATGGTGCCCAGTTATCAAAAGATATAGCATCTTGGGTCTTAAAGGCCTGAAAACATACAAGCGGCTATCTAGATGAGAAGCAACAAAGTCCACACCAGCCTATGTGATCATGAGGTGTCGATGGGATCAGGTTTCAGGCATCAAAGACCCAGAACAAAAAATCATATCAATGTGAATGAGGGGGAGTGCAGAGTGGAGATCCAAAGCCCATCTGTAGACAATTGGACATCCCCTTACAGAAGGGTCATAAGGAAGAGATGAGCCAGTCAGGGTGCAGTATAGCACCGATGAAACATACAGCTTTCCTCTAGTTCTTTAATGCTTCCTTCACCCCACCCACTGCCCTGCCGACTATCATGACCCCAATTCTACCTTACAAATCCGGCTAGACCAGAGCATGTACATGGTACAGCTAGGAACTGGAAACACAGGGAATCCAGGAGAGATAAACCCCTCAGAACCAATGATGAGAGTAGTGATACCAGGAGGGGAAGGGGAAGGTAGGGGAGAAAGGGGGATCCCATCACAATGATCTACATCTAACCCCCTCCCTGGGGGATGGACAACAGAAAAGTGGGTGAAGGGAGACATCAGTCTATGTAAGAAATGAGAAAATAATAATAATTAATAAATTATCACGGGTTCACAAGGGAGGGAGGGAAAAAATGAGCAGCTGATACCAAGAGCCCAAGAAAAAGAAAATGTTTTGAAAATGATGATGGTAACATATGTACAAATGTGATTGACATAATGGATGGATGGATGGATTTTGCTAAAAGCTGTACGAGCCCCCAATAACATGATAAAAAAAGAGACCTTCTTAGAGTGTTAAAAGCCAATATGTCACCTTGAGATTTAAGTATGCCTGCCCCCAACCACAGTAGTTTTAATCACTTCATATGCATGTGAAGACTGCACAATGAATATGGGAATGTCAGAAGAATTGATGTCTTTCAATTATGACGCTGGTGAGGAATACTGAGAATATCGTGTACGGCCAGAACAAACCGATCGGTCTGCAAAAAAGTACAGCAGGAATGCTCCTTAGAAGCTAGCAGGCAAGACTGCCTCACATGCTTTGGCAGACATGTTGTCAGGAGAGGTCAGTCCCTGGGAGACTTGGTGGAGGTCAGTGCAGAAGAGGAAGCTTCCTGATGAAAGGGATTGGCACAGTGCTGCAACCATGAGCTCAAATTTATCACAGGCACGAGGATGGTGTAGGACCAGGCAGTGTTGTATTTGTTCACAGCAGGTCCAGACCAGTCAGAACCAACTCGACAACACCCAACAACAGCAAGAACACCTCCCCTTCTATTACACAAAGTGACTCCTTTTAATAGTAGTTACCCATGATATTTAACAAATGATTGGCTATGTGAAATTTAAAATATTGATAAACCTTTTATCTATGAACCTTTTAAAATAACATATCATATTCTCTGTCTCGCTCTCTCTCACTGCCATCAAGTTGATTCTGAGTCAGTAACCCTAGAGGCCAACATAGGGTTTCTGAGACGGTTACTCTTTACGGCAGTAGAAAGCCCCATCCTTTTCCACAGAGAGGCTGGTGTTTTCAAACTGTTGACCCTGCAGTGAGCAGCCCAATGTGTAAACACTACACCATCAGGGCTCAGATTCTCTTTATAGTTGCAGTGTAATTATTACATAAAAATATATCTATTTCTTGTGGGGGGAAAACAGCATAGAAACTCCTATTGGATTACAAAAACCTTGGAAACCAAAATTATGATTTTCCAAAACTAACAGTATTATATGTATATGTTAATTCTGCTTTTTGTTTCCCCAAAGACTTTCCTATCCACTAGTTCATCAGTACTCGTAGTACGTCAGCAAGATGTGCTGGAAAGATACGAGGAGAGGCAGACAGAGCGATTTCTCCGAGGTATCGATTGCAGGGAAGGAAAACAAGAACAATCCTGAATCTGGTGCCAGGCCTATTCCCGGGCCACCAACATCTCAAATCCCACACACCCTCCTGACGACAAGGTATTCAGGTTAGAACCGACATCACGGAGTCCCCAGAATGGAACCCCAAGCGAAGCAGGTGACTGTGCGTACGATCTACTATTACCACGACTTTATACAAGAGAAGAATGAATCTTTTAACAGTTAAAAATGTAGGAAGGTCACAATCTCAGAAAATAGGACACACCTGAGAAAGAGCTGCTAGCCATTGAACAGCGGCTAGGACTGAAAGCTGTGGTGTGGCGGGCGTTGCGCTGCACACCTCCCCTACCACTTTAAGGTCCATATGTTTATGTATGGCGACGGACCAGTGAACGTGGTCACCGTCTTGCATTAGGAAACGGGTGTGCTAACCATGCCTACTCTCTTCAAGGAGCACCTGCTGCCTGACATAGACTAAGAACTTGATTGCACATTACGCCAAGCCAAAGGATCATTGACTCTGTCTAGGGAAATTACTATGACAGTTGTCTTTCTAAACTGAGAAGAAAACATGGTGTGTCATGTAGAAAGAAAAGTACATTTGGGGCCAATGGACAGATGATTTGAGAGAGAAATTGCCCGAGAAAATGTGAGGTCAATGGCTGCTGGATGTGTGACTGATCAGAGAACTGGAAGACGTTCTATACCAAGAAACTTCATACCATTGAACACTGGTGTGCTGAACAATTGGCAAGGTGTGAAGATCAATCTAGAATTGTTTGTGATTGTAACAGTGATGACCAGGTCCTCTCATTTGAAGGGGACCCTCCATATAGTAGAAATAACACTAAAATAAATCGAATTGCATGTGTTTCCAGCCATAAGACAGCACACGAAGACAAACGTCTTCTATAAAGTGACCACCACCTGACAACCAGAGGACAGTCTTAACGATTTTGTGATGATCACTAACCACCCACAAAAGTGATTTCTTACACGTTTAGCAAAGATTTTTTAAAAATTCTTTGCTGAAGACATGAAGAAAGATTCATACCTCTGATACAATATTCCTGAAGGGCAAGTTGGGAATATCAATCCAAATTTCAAGGGCACATATCTTAATTTCAAGGGCATGTGTTCTCAGTATCATAGCCTATCTTTTGAAACTATCTGTTAGAAATGAAATTAAATGGGAAACATTAGTGATTATTAGAGAATAATAATTGTATATAACCATCAAACCAACTACCATCAAATAAATTCTGACTCATAAATGAATATTGCTATACTAAATGTGTCTTCAAAGGTTAAGATTATTGGTGTGCAAAAGATATTTATTACATTATTACTTGCGACTATTAAAATAAGCTGAAAGAAATGGCCCCGACTTTTTAATTGTTGTTATTAGAGCTCTCCAAAAACATTGTACAAGTTAAAATTCTCACTCTCTTAGAAAATGTTTACCATGATAAAACTAATTAAATAAATGATAATGCACTTACAGTATTGATCAGCAGTTCAAAAGCAAATGTGGTGTGTTTTTACACACTAAAGAGAGCTATCTGTGACATAGCAGTAAGGAAAAGAAACAAGCAAGTTGATAGAGCAGTCTCTGTATATGATGCCATGCGTGCATGCACACACACATGCATGCACACACATGCGTGCACACACACACCATTAGGGGGCTTGACAACTCTTTAGAAAAATATAATTGAAAGAAAATGGAATTATTCCATACATTTTTTGCAACCTCCTGATACAGATGTGTGTGTGTCCTGGTGGCAAAGTCGTTAGGAGCTGCACTGCTGACCTAAAGGTCATTGGTTCGAACCTACCAGCGGCTCCACAGGAGAAAGATGTGGCAGTAAAGGTCACGGCCTTGGAAACCGTGTGGGGCAGTTTTACCCTGCCCTGTAAGGTCATTATGACACAGAATTGACTTGTTGGCAATGGCTTAGCTTTGTATGTGTGATGTACGTGACACACTTTGTCTCATGGCAGTGCGCAGTGGCTGTTTCTGCAGCATGGTTAGGGTGGTGCATGAGAAAGCAGAAGGTTTTCACTTCATATAATTCTGAACTCCTTCCTGTGTCGTTTTGTTAGCAGTTTTGTTGGCAGATATTCACATATCATACATTTCAATAGTTCAATTATATTAAAATGAGTTGTACAATCATCTCCACAATTTTAGAACAGTTTCTTCTTTCTTGTACTCATTGTTATCAACTCCCCATTCCCCTCCCAACCTCCCCCGCCATACCCCTTGAGACGCCATCAAGGTAGTTACTCTCTCTATAGCTTTACCTATCCGGAAGTCCATATACAGAAAAACCAACACAAGCCCAACTGCACTCTGCCTAATAGCAACGCTACTTCTGTCCCTGGTCTATGGTCAGAGGGGATTCACCAGAGGCTCAAGCACTGTGTAGACCCTGCAAACGGATTGGGACCCCACTGTCATCCATCGCCTTCTGCAAACTGCGTGATCACAATTTAAGTTCTGACACCATTCCCTCCCTTGGATCTGGCTTTTGTTTTAAGGACCCATGGCTCCTTAAATGATTTTGGCATTAACTCTATGTGACAGACTAGAACTCCCTTACAGAGTTTTCTCCGGAGCCTTGGGGGTGTATTAGATTACACTAAGGTTCAAACCCATCAGCTGTAAAGTGGGAAAAAGATAAAGCTTTCCACTCCCTTAAAGATTTATATAAAAGAACAGTTGTACATTGAGAGAACATCCCAGCCCAGTCCAGATCAAGTCCATAAATCCGATATTAGAACATATGTCTGATACTAGACTATAAATTCCTCTTGAGACTCACACAGCACATGCAGTGATGCCAAATGCAGGAAGAGCACAGGCCAGTTGGTGGAAAGTCCTGTGGATCCAATGGCAGTGGATGCATCTCCGGGACTCTAGCTGCCATCAGTGTGGCTCTATGTGGCTTGTCAACAGGAATGTGAAGCAGAGAGTGTGTGGTGTGCCTCTTCTGATGGCAGAATCAAGGGTAAGGAAGTTCCCAGAATCCTCATGAGAAGGCCACGCCCACACAGAGCCATCATTGGCTGTGACCTGATTGACAGGCTATACTCCACCCCTTCACTCATAATACCCTCACGCTGACATGAGGTTATGTAACTACCACACCATTTTTTTCTGCCTGTGGAGCTTGCCATGTTTTCTGAACTCCAGCTATGAATAAAAGAGGTTGCAAGCCCTTGTTTAAGTAACAGAACTTTCTTTTTCTTCCACAAAGCCCAGGCTGACGTAGTAAGGTTTATACAGTGATCTGGAGTTTTACTTACTTTTTAATTTTGTCCATTATTCCACCTTCATTGTTCTTAATATCATGGACCATCTTTTGAAGCTGCCTGTAAGAAGTGAAAGTAAATGGAAATATTAATGGTTATTTTAAAGTAGTCATTTTAAAAGGTATCTGTCTTTTTTACTACAAAAAGGGGGGGAGCCTACAATAACCTCCCCAATGATTATCAATTATATTGTAATGAATTAAGGAAATATTTGTTGTTTGAAGAAGAATCTGATTCTACAAGGACATGTGGTTATCGGGCCATGTTTCCATCCATCCGAGTCAGCGTCAGGCTGTGAGGAAGGAATTCTGATCGCCAAACCTATCCAATCCGAGGAGACAAGTAAACAAAGGTGCTGACCAGTCGAAAGGAGCTCACCCTTTAATTTTCATTTTATTCATAGCACATTTAATTGAAGAACTATTTGAAGGAACTATAATGGGACATGGTTACCCTAAACAATAATCTAGTAAACAATATAAAGAGTTAAAAAAAAGGCGGTGGGGGGTAGGGAAGGGAAAAGGCCGGGAAAGAAAAGAGGAGAGAAGACAGAGGAAGAAGAAAAGGGAGTGGTCTGGAGCTCAAGGGTGAGCAGATGTGCAGAGAAACAGAGACACCGGAGGGTGAGAGAGCTAAATAGGACCTCCCTAGGATTATTTTAAGACCACAGGTATGTCCTTGAAACTTCAATCCACATTGAGCTCAGCTACTTTGAGCCAGCTGATGCTGTACGCAAACTAAGGATAACAAAACAGAAATTGGTACAGAGATAGGGTTACACGGCCCAAACCTTGGCACCTTCTGGGATGGATGACCAACAGCCCCTGTGTCTTGGGGACACACTGTGGACCCCTGAGAAAATGGGATTTTGCGACCTAGAAGCTCTAACCTTAGGATAACTAACTGGCGCTACACATCGGAAGAGCAGGGCCAATGAATGGCTGCTTCTCATAGTGCCAGACAATCTGCAAGGAGACAGGGGTGTTCTCCGGTCTTGGGTTACTTTACAAGAAAAGACGAGGCTGCTTGCGGCCATCCTTTAAATACACCGGTGTCATCGTCGTTGCTTATTACACCAGGCTTCCATTTCCCAGTTAATTCTATGTTGGCAAAGGCTGAGACTGGTGACAATGGGATGGAGAAGCTGGGAGGATCCAGAAGGCAGGAAATTCCCAGCTCTCTGGCCTCATCTCAAACATCCTCTGTTGGGCTCTCCTTCCAAAACATGAGATTTTTTTCTTTCTGTCTGAAGAAGCCTGTGAAATGAGGGATGTCATGTAGCCGACGCCTGGAGGCAGTGTTTTCCTCCGTAGGAGTGGCCCTCTGGCCTAGGTGCCACCGCCGGAATATCCTATTTATCAGAGAACAGTCCAGAAGCTTCAAATTAGCATGGCAGTAAGTTTGGGCCTCATGTAACTTCTAGACCTGAACAATTCCAAACGGGGTTTGCCCTGTGGAACGGAGCCCTGTGGAACGGAGTCCTGCAGTAGCAGCGCTTCCGCCCGCGGACATAGTCACTACCAAGGAACTTACTTTGTCGCCTAAAGGTGACAACTGGTATCCCAGGGAATTCTCCGGCCCTGTCATGAGCCTCCCTGTCTATCATGTCCTTATAGTCCTGACAGGATCCACATTGTAAGGGTAGGTGCTCCCCTGAACAACATAGTACACATATTCCTCACTTATCAGTTATCTTGTTACACGACAGTTTGCATTTACAATAGTAAAAGATCGCTAGCTGTGATGGCTAAGTGTATGTGACACCTTGGCGTGGATGATGTGTGATGATGTAATTCGGCAGTTATGAAAGATGTGGTGCTCCTCCAATTGGCGACCACCTTTCATTTTTGCATTATGCCATCTTTCGCATGGTCTATGGTTATGTTGATAAGAGGAAAGCAGATATGCAGGCTGAAATTAGGTTCAAGATTTCTTCCTTTTGAACTTTGCTGGGTAGACTCTGGAAAAGCTGTCACTTAAAAGCTACACATATATGTTATCCCACAAGAAATTATTAATAAATTTCATTTCATTAATATTTGAAACACAAATATGACACAGAAAACAAGGAGCATACCTACTATAAGAAATATCCGCAGCACATAATGATAATAAGAACTACATATCTTCCTTTATAAAGAAATCTTAAAATAGAAAGAATGAAAAGTTCAATAAAAGATTGAACAAGAAATATGAACACATAGTAAGCAGAAAAGCTAACAAAGTCATTGGTTTATTGCAAAGGGTTAACAGACCAATGACATATACATAATTTATGTATAAAATACAAATTAAAAAACAATAAGATATCATAAAATATTCTATCTATCGTATTTGGAAAAAATTATCAAGAGCAGTAATTTCCTGGATTGGCATAAATCATTACAACCCACAGTTGTCATAGTGAGTTAAAATGTCCATGTCTTTTGACCCAGCAATTTCACTAAGAATCTGCCTTAAACACATGGTCACACAACCATGCCATTATATGCATATGATCATGCTGATGATGCATTATGTGTCACAGCCCCAGTTCTCTCTGCCTCCCCCACAACAGAAATTGGAAACAACCTAAATGTCCATCAATTATTAACGGGAAACTAATTCAATGCATTTTGATAGAGTCACAAAATGAAATAAGCTAGACCCTTTAAGAAAGAAAGGAAGAAATTTAGAACTGTATTGCTGGTATAGAAAAGTCCCCAAGTGGTAATATTTTTAAAAGATAGAAAATAAAGAGGGTGGGGAGAAAAAAAAGAAAGGGAAGTTTACTAGTGTGTACCCTATGGTTTCTTTGTGGAAATAAAAAGAACCTATGCTGGTATGTGCCGCTATATGCCTACATTTTTAGAAGATATCAAAGGTGACTTTTTAAGAGTGGCTTTGTACATATTGGAAAAGCGACTCCTCTTGCTATGTGGGCGTGAGGCACACAGTAGACAAACAAGCCTAAATTCCAGCCTCTGCATGTCCCCAGATCTGGGGACAGCCTAGCCTCCTATAAAGCAAGGACTTGGTGACTGGGAGTTTGAGAGTCCATCTGATTCTAAGAAGATTGTTTACTTTACAATTGATGTTTTGCTATATTACTTGCAAGTTTCATAGCGTGTTCCTCTATCACTTCTATTACTGTGTTGCATACATTTATGGGTGGAAATGGTTACAGGGTTAGAGGATAAGGCCATGCTTTAAGTTCGTTTTATAATAATTATCTGACTAGAACAATACAAATGAAATTTCACATGATTTTTTTCTGACAAAGTAGTACATTTATTTTATTTTGTTTGTGTGTGTGTGTATGGATTGTGATAACAGTTGTATGAGCCCCTAATAAAATGTTAAAAAAAAAAAGTAGTACATTTAAAATTCACTTTTCAGTGAAACAATTCCTCTGTCCTGAGAAAACAATTTGATTGAAGCTTATCCCCAATCATTATTGTTGGAGCTTTTTTCCCATAAATCTAATTAATATTTCTCTGAACTTAGGAGCTAAGTTTGCAGTTGAGTAATGAACTGTTGCCAGGTGCCAGTGAATTGACCCCCAACTCATAAGGCCCTCACGTACTACAGAAAGATACATTGTCCAATTGTCCACTGGTATCTGAGTCCATTGCTGCGGCCACTGCAGGTTTTGAGTGCCTTCCAACAGAGGGGCCACACCGTCCAGCACCATATCAGAAAATATTCTGTTGTGAACCACAGAGTTTCGAAGCTAATTCTCAGAAGTAGATCACCAGTAGATCTTCCTGGTCTATCTTAGCCTGCAAGCTGCACTGAAACCTGCCTACACTGGGTGACTCTGTTGGTATTTGAAATACCGGTGGCATAGCTTCCAGCATCACAGCAACACACAGGCCACCACAGTACAGCAACTGACAGCTGAATAGTGGAGGTGATGAATGTGGTCATTAGGTCAGATCCGGTTCATAGCAAACCGACGGACAACAGGAGAAACACTGTTTGGTCCCAACAATTCCCATGTTTCAGCCCATTGTTGCAGCCACTGTATCAACCTGTCTCATTGAGGGTCTTCCTCTTTTTCGCGGATCCTCTATTGTACCCTGATGCGCTTCTCGGAGGACTATCCCTCTTGAGAGTAAATCCAAAATGCGGAAGACAAAATCCTTGCTTCTAAGGAACATTCTGGAAGTACTTCTTTCAAGACAGATCTGCTCTTCTGGCAGTCCATGATATATTTAATGTTCCTTGACATATAATTATGATTCAAGTGCACTGGTTCTTCTTGTCTTCCTTGTTCACTGTCCAGTTTTCATATGCATATGAGGTGATTGAAAACATGACTCATGTCAGGCACACTTGATTCCTCAAAATGACACCTCTGCTTTTTAACATTTTAGAGAGGTTTTGTGTGGCAGATTTCCCGGTGCAATAGGTCATTTTATTTCTTCACTGCTGCTTCCGTGGGTGTTGATTGGGATCCAAGTAAAATGAAATCCTTGACAACTTCAAATTTTTCTCTGCTTATCATGATGTTGATTATTGGTCCAACTGTGAGGATTTTTTATTTTCTTTATGCTGAGGTATTATTCATACTGAAGCATTATAGAGGTGTATGATTGAGCTAAACTTAGATTTATGAAACTGTTGATTGGGGATCTGGGAGAAATATTCCCATGGCTTTGTATGGACTTAGAATGCCCATGCTATCATATGTTACTCTTCAGTAGGGCAGTAGAATAGTTATTTAGAGGAGACAAGCTTCTGATCGCTCTCAGAAACTCTAATGAGACGAGAACTTGCCAGGGGAACTCGACCTGCTTTAAGCTTTTCCCCCCAAGTTGCACCAAAACATGTATTCAATATATTTGTTAATTAGGCTTCAATAGGCATGCAGACAGAACATTATTTTGGAACAATAGTTCATACTTTAAACACAAATTCAAATGGATGATATTGAGTAACATCGAGGATATGTTTGTGATGTGTATAAAGATAGGGGTTTGTTTTTGCAAAAGTATGTATGTGTCAATGCTGGAAATGTGGCTTCCTGGGGATTGGGCACTTTTAATAATTCTGCAAGCTCAGTCCCCATGGGGACC